CACAACAACTTGGTCGCAGGGAAATCGCCAATTGGCAAGGATGAAGCTTGTGATCGCCTTCTTGGTGTTCTTCTCTCTCGCCGTCTCCTCCGCCTCGGAGAAGTTCGATTTCTTCTACCTTGTTCAACAGGTGATGCATCATGCGTGTCGTGACCGGAGATCGACCGATCGATCGGCCTCTCGTGATTTTAATCCAGCGACGACGACGAATATATCTAATCTAACATGTGTTCCTGGCTTCCTCCCTCGTTGATGGCATTCATGCAGTGGCCGGGCTCGTTCTGCGACACGCGGCAGGGCTGCTGCTTCCCGGATGACACGAAGCCGGCGGCGGCGTTCGGCATCCACGGGCTGTGGCCCAACTACGCCAAGTGCCGTGGCCGCCAGGGCCTCGTCCGCGCGATGCTCGGCGACGACGCCTTCCTCTCCACCGTGGGGCGGCGGGGCAAGTGCTGGCCGGAGTACTGCGACGACGGCAACGAGCTGAGCCCGTGGGAGATCCGGGACCTGGTGGCGTCGCTGGACCGGAGCTGGCCGACGCTGTCGTGCAAGAACCGGCGCAGCTTCCAGTTCTGGAGCTACGAGTGGAAGAAGCACGGCACCTGCTCCAACCTGGAGCCGCACGACTACTTCGCTCGCGCGCTGGCGCTCAAGGCCAAGCACGACCTGGCGGAGATCCTCGCGGACGCCGGGATCGTGCCGTCGGACACCGAGACGTACCCGGTGAGCAGCGTCAGGGACGCCATCGCGCAGGGGACCGGGTTCGTGGCCAACCTGGAGTGCAACCGCGACGCGGACGGCGAGGCGCAGCTGTTCCAGGTGTACCAGTGCGTGGACCGGGACGCCAAGGACCTCATCGACTGCCCGCTCGCCATGCCCACCAAGTGCACCGACCGGGTTAAGTTGCCTGTCTTCTGATTCCAAGTTTATGGCTGCCGTTTGTAAAACGCATGTAGATCGATCGATACATGTGATGTGTGCGTATGTGATTTACCTTTGCGATTGGAGACCTGTTATGTGTTCACAGCCATCAGCGCTGTCCGGTACGAAGGTTAATTAACCTGGTGGCACTGTATTTAATAAAGCGACTTTGTCATTTTTAGTCAAAAACAAGCCTATATAGGCAACCACATATATGGCCTTTTTGGCACAGCTCAGTTTTACTAGTGAAACTGTATTTTTGAAAAATAGCTCCACGAGCAGCTTTTTAGTGAAGCTAAGCTGTTTTGAAAAAAAAAAGTTTGACAAAATAGCTTCATCAACAGCTCATCAGGGACAGAGCTGAGGTAAGCTACTATTTTTAGCTTCATCCCAACTCATGTCTCTGTGAGATGAGGAGAAAAACAACTTCAACTATGAAACCGTTTTGAATATGAGTGTTTGGCAAAAAAAAAAAAACTCACAATAAATCATGAAACTGTTGAGCAGTGCCAAACAGGCACATAATCCTTAGTGCCTCGATTCATACAAAATCGGGTGTTTCCAACAATTTGTTATGTTGTGGGTTGGATTTGAAAATCACAACCATAGTCCTTCCAGTGCATTGCTCAGGTCATTTTTTTTTTCCTTTTTGGCGGATGGGATCATGCGAGGAAAAAAGAATAACAAAGCTCAGAAAGGAGACGGAGACCAATTGGAAGGATCGTTTTGAAATGAGAAAGAAGTTGAACTAGTTTCGGAAAAAAAGGAAGAAGTTGAATTTGTGTCGCACAAAAAAAAAAAAGGTGCTCAGTGCAGTTTGGCAGAACTCGTGAGTGCCTCATAGACAATCCTTCAATTGCATGCATGACGACCTTCAAGAGTACACTGTACGCTTGTTACAAAATCCAGTGAACGACCCTTTTACTATTATTTTGATTAATAACTACTATGCGATGAATATTGTTAGGACAGTATTATTACACTGACAAACTCTGGATCGTTGGTTAATTTCGTAGACCAAACTTTCAGTTGATAACGCCAAATAAGAACATACTACTCTCTTTTTTTCGTTTCATGTCCCCCTGAGATCTATCATCTCTTCGCCTACCTGGCGTGGCCACTCGATCAAGCAAGCGAATCAAGTAACGTGAACACAATCGTCCTGTTCGCTTGGCTTATAAACTGTACTTTTTCAGTCAACGAACGATATTTTTCTCTCATAACAAATCAGCCAACAATACTTTCAGCTATAGCTTATCAGCCAAGCGAACATGACAAATGTCCATACGCGACCTAGCATTCTAGGAATAGGATTCCCGATTCTGAGAAAACAATGCAAACAAACTCGTAACTGATTGGATCAGGGTATCAGACCTGCCCGTTCGTTTGACCTTCATTTCCTATACATGATGATGATTGATGAACTAATAATTCATATATACACGTTGGTTCCACGAAGCCTGATCCATCGCATATTCGATCGCCTTGGACACCGGAATACCGGATCCATCGCTGGCGGTCTGCATGGCGCCATGGCCTCGCTCGATCGTGCCATGCTCGGCGACGACGCCTTCTCCTCCAATATCTTGGCCTCGCTCGAAGGAAATCTTTCACGTCTGTTTCATCATTCATCGTCATGATTCACGAAACTGCGGTACTTCATCACAAATTACAAAAGAAGAGAAAATTGGTACTACAAGGGCTTACTCTGTAGGTTACATTTTCGACCCACGGGCCTTTTGCGGGCGTCCGTCGCTGTACGAAAAAGTCCATTTTACTTTCCTCGACTATCCTTAAAGCCTAGTTTTTCTTCCTGAACTCCAAAACAGATAAATCATCTCTCTCAACTTTTAAAACCGTTCATTTTACCTCTGTGGCTCGGTTATAGGTGGTTTTCAAAGACGGTTTTGTCTTTTTCTTTTTTATTTATTTTGGCTGAATTTTTGAAATCACATAAAAATCATAAAATGGAAACTCCAATTTTCTTTGACTCCACATGAGTAGATATACATAGTGAATATATAATATGGTATGCTTTAGTACAAAGTTTTTGCTGAAACTGTATGTCTATGATTTTAGTAATTAATTCAAAGCTTGAGTTTCTATGGTCCAATTGTATTGTATTTTTTTATGGTGGGCTAATTATTATATGGTTAAAGTGTAATAAAAATTTCATGCTCATTGGATCATGGATAACCGAGTTATAGATTTATTTATTTTTATGCTTGTTAAATAGTTTTAAAATAGTTAAAAGTGTGTAAAATTAGAAACGAGTATGAAATTTTTACTACAATTAAAGCATACAATAATGAGACAATGATAAAAATTTCATCATAATTGGACCATAGAAACTGCAGCTATGAATTAATTAGAGAAAAGTATAGATCTAAAGCTACAACAACAAAAATTGTACTAAAGCATACCATATTATATATTTAATGTGTAGATATACTCATGCGGAGTTCAACAAAATTGAATTTTTTATTTTATGATTTTTTATGATTTACTATGATTTTTAAATATTTAGCCAAAATAAATTTTAAAAAAAGACAAAACCACATTTGAAAACCACCTATAACAGGGTTAGGGAGGTAAAATAAATGGTTTTAAAAGTTGGGGAAGATGGTTTACCTAGTTTTTGAGTTCAAAGAGAAAAACTAAACTTGAAGAATAGTTTAGGAAGGTAAAATGAACTTTTTACGCTGCTACAGGATCTTCTTTTGGCAGGCCACCAGCTGCAGGTAAGCAAAACGACCCATGGATTTTTCTGGGCCGTTTGGTATACTGTTCGAAAGAGATGCTGTTTGGTTGTCCGTACGAGTATAAATCATGTAATATGAATGTGTCAAAATAAATACTAAAATATTAATTATTTATGATATTATATCATATTAAAATTTGATTGACCTTATACAACATTAATTTGTTTTAAAATCACTTAATATTCACTAATTATGTGCTAATGACGTCATTAGTTGTGCTAATCCTGCACGGTGCGAGCCTGGCTCGCCAGATAGGCCCGATTCTCGCGTTCTCCTTGGGCTCGGCTCGCATGGCTCTTTTGCATGAACTCGGCCTGTCCCGGCAGCACATCCAGGCAACCAAACGCGCTCCACCTGCATCAGACGAGACGGGCCTGGCCGGGTGGCATGCGGACAAGCAAACACCCGGGCAGTTCCAATAAAAAAAAACTAGTAGTTTTTATAATATAGGATACCGCTCTAAAAAAAATATTGTTTTTCAATCTATAGTTTTTATGAGTAATAATTATTTTCTCTTTCTCTCTCCCAACTCTATCTTCGTCCTCCAATGAGAGTGCGGCACGAGCCCCTACAAACTGGTGGTTTCTTTCCAATGACGATTTCATGGTTTTTTGGTGTAGGTTTCTTTCCTATGGTAATTTTATGGTTTCTTGGTGCATTGGGTCAAGAGAAGACCTGATTTCTTCATGAGGAAACCATTTCTAAGATTTTTGCTCTCTTTCTTCATTAATTACGTTGCCATGTCAGCGTTTTGTCTATGTGATAAGTTATTTAATAAGAATAAAACCATCATCAATACATTATTGGGACTGCTCTTAGTCACTTCCCAAAGGATATGGATGCCTGTGTTACTGCTAGTTGGCATGATCAGGACACCTGATGACCTGAACTTCTCCTCCGCTTCCATTTTTTTTTATAAATTCCTCCTCCGTTTCCTCGTGAGCGCGGCTCTTTCACGTTCCTGCGTGTATGGCTGGCTAAAATAATAGTGTTCTGTTTTGCCTAATCTGTAAGCTACAACTACTCCGAACTCCAACACTGGATCTCGTCTCAGCTGTAAAGTGAAATGGCGTTCTGGCATGATGATCTCGTATCGAAGCTAAAGCTAAAGTATTGCTCCAACTGTTAAAAACACTGCTTATACTGGAAAAACTGCCAACAACCGTGTGCTAATGCCATATCACGCGCACGTGCTGAGCCTATAAATCCAGTGTCAAACAACCAGCCGGGCAGCAGTCCAACACCACTGAATCTGAACCAGAGTGACAGGGCCAAACGGAGTGCAACTGAGCATCAAAACATAAGCAGAGCAAGAGCATGGCCCACCACGGCCCCCTCGCCGTCGCCGTTCTCCTGCTTCCTCTCGTCGTCGCCTCCGCGGCAACCGATTTCGATTTCTTCCACCACGTTCAGCAGGTAGCTACAATCTCCGGTCGATTGCCATTGCCACCACGTCCAGCAGATTGTTATGGATAATTGGATATGCAATATGCATACACTGTTTTGACTGCTGTTACTTGTTTGTACAGTGGCCCGGCTCTTACTGCAACACAAACACAAATGCCACCCGCTGCTTCCCGGGCGGCGAGAAGCCGGCCGCGGACTTCGGCATCCACGGCCTCTGGCCAGAGTACGCCGCGTGCCGGCCCGACGCCGTGAACCCCAACAAGACCAGTTGCTGGCCGGACTCCTGCAACGCCACCGCTCCTCTCGACCTGTCGCAGGTACGTACACGGTGCACTACCATTCAGTACCGGTGCACCCACAGATATCCTCGCACTCTACACCATCCACCATGGCCATGGTCTGACGGCACTCGGCACTCGCACTCTGCAGATCAGGAACTTGGACAGCGACCTGCGCCGGAACTGGGGTACGCTGTCGTGCAAGAACAGGGACAACGCGCAGTTCTGGAGCCACGAGTGGAGCCGGCACGGCACCTGCTCTAACGTGGACCATCACTCCTACTTCCTGGCCACCCTGGAGCTCAAGGCCCGGTTCAACCTCACCCGCATCCTGCTGGACGCCGGCGTCGTGCCGTCCGACGACAAGGAGTACTGCCTCCGCACCATCCGGGACGCAGTGGCCGCGGCCACGGGCTCCGCGCCGATGGTGGAGTGCAACCGCAACGAGCGCAACGAGACGCAGCTGTACCAGGTGTTCCAGTGCGTCGGCCTCGACGGACGGACGCTCGTCCACTGCCCACTGCCGGAGCAGCGCGGTGCACCGACATGGTCAAGTTCCCACCGTTCTAGGCATTTGGTTCTGTTGATCTGCTTGAACGAAGCCGAGCTGAATTTGCTCCGCAGCCATTTTGACTGTACTGTACCATTCAACGTCCACTAAAAAAGAATGAAGGGCGTGCCCTGTGCTACGTACAAAACTGGCACAGACAAGCACCGACGAAACAGCGGCCAATTCCCCAGCCCGACCAGAGGCTGTGGCTCACAGGCTCAGTTCAATGCTGCCTCCTGGTTCTGCTGCACGTACGCGATGCCCTTGTCGATGCTGGCCTTGAGCTTGGGCTTGAGAGCCTCCAGCTCGCGCGCCTCGTAGTCGGTGAGCCCCCTGAGCTCGGAGCCCAGCACCTCCTCCACGCCGTCCCTCCCGAGCTTCACCCTGCACGCGAAGAACGGGAGCTCCGGCACCACCTGCGACTGCGCGTACGCGCACTCGTACACGTCGTCGTGGCCGTCGAGGCCGCGCAGCGACGCCTCGAGGAACCGTGCGGCGGCGTACGCCATGGACAGCGTGGCGGACCCTGCGCCGGCCTTGGCCTCCACCACCTCGGTGCCGGAGTCCCGGATCCTGGCGGTGAGCTCCTCCACCTCCTCGTCCGTGAACGCCGCTGCGGCCGCCTTGGGCCGAGCCTTGGACAGCAGTGGCAGGATGGTGGCCGCCCACGACCGGCACGTCCACGTCCGCGACCGGGAGGCCCCTCCTCGCCGCCACGAACGCGTTGGCGCGGACCACGTCCAGGGTCGTGACGCCGAACAGCCTCCGCGGGTCGTACGCGCCCTTCTGCTTCAGCACCTCGGCGGCGATCGGCACCATCGAGTTCACCGGGTTGCTGATAACGTGGACCAGCGCGCCCGGCGCGTGGTCCGCCACCGCCGCCACGAGGTGGCGCACGATGCCCGCGTTGACGCTGAACAGGTCGTCCCGCGTCATGCCGGGCTTCCGGGGCGACAGGCAGGCCGCTAGCTCGTCTTTACCGGTGAAGCTGGCGACTTGCGCCGGGGTGTTGCAGTGGCTCAGGTCGGCGGTCACGCCCTCCACGTTGGCGATGTCGTACAGGTGCAGCGAGGACACGAGCGGGGACATCTTGGGCAGCAGGGAGAGCGGCTGCCCGATCCCTACCGCCGCGCCAAGGATGGCCACCTTGTAGCCGCCGCTCCCGCTCCCCGTACCGGCCTGTGCGACGATGACCCGACTGCGATCCGATTTGTCTGGTTCGAAATAACACGGTTTTAGAGGCGTTCGTCTTACACTGACATTAAACACCTTCAAAAAGAGCTATATTGAACAGCTCCGTCGAGCACACCTCAAGAGAGAATTCAAAACAATCCACGTTATAAATTCAGAATCAAATAATGAGAACGAGCTTACAGTACTTTCTATTTCATACGACCAATGTTCTTAAAAATTATTTATTACAATATTAGAGTTCGGAGTGCGATAATTAAACAGCGGAATAAAAATAAACATCTAGCGGAAACAATACAAGGATCCGTCTATGCCCACCAGAAGAATCCTCCATACAAAAGCTACTTCTCCAGCTGCACCTGCAACAGGGGGTAAAATAAACCCTGAGTACAAAATGTACTCGTAAAACTTACCCGACTAGTGAGAATAGTTTTCCAACTCTCAGGGATATGATAGACAATATGAGTTTGTTGTTTTCTTTTTTTGCAAAAAGCATTAATAATAGTTCATCCTTACAGTCAAGTTTTATTAGCGGTCATGATTATTTTATTAGCTAACCATTCTAGATAAGCAATTGTTCTACTTTCAAGCAAGGGTTGAGCAATCAGAATCATTTTATCTTCTTTCATCTTACAGTTCTTACTATGATGGTAGATCATATCCAAGTCGTACCATCTCATGGAAACGACGACTCGCGAACCAATATATCTCAGCTGGGTACCTCGAAACACAAGCTCTGTTGTACCCTAGGCACAAACAAGACCAACCCATTCCACTCCTGTCACGGGGTTCAGGTCCCTGTCCAAACTTGGACTACAAGTCCCCACACTTGAGACCCGGTCTCAGTATGGTGCTAAGACCTTTATATTTCTCCGCCTCCAATCAGTCGTTCCGAAAAGAGTCAGAACCCACGATAAAAGCGTAACTAGCCTTTCCGCTTCCATAAGCAAGTATGTGTTTAGGATAATAAGTCTGTGACCTGACTACCATCCACAGCAACGGACGGTCCTTAATCGACACGAACAGGAAAAATAGTGTAACCAAACTAAGCCCCGTTAGCTGCGGAACACAACCTGTTACATCCACCAATACCCATACCATATTCTTATCCTGTCTCCATTTTTTATTTCATCATTTTATCATGAGAGTAATAATAATCACCTATCGTAAGTAATGGTAGGTTACTCATGCTACCTAAAACCTAAGCATAGCAGCTACTCGAACCTGTACTAGCAGGACTCATAGAATAGTTATATCTATGCATGTGGTTTTCATAAAATCCTGTAACGTAAATATACATCACATATGTATATATTCAGTGATTATCAAAAATAATGGTTATGCACCGGGACTTGCCTTGGACAGGTGCGGTGTCAGCTGAGTCAGACAGTGATGGCTCCGGGACCTCCTCCTGTACGAGAATCTCCTTCTCATACTCCTCGACGATCTCCTCGAACTCGCGATCGCAGGTGGTCACGATCTCTACCAACTCGTTCTCTACATGCATGCGATGATGATGCAACACTTAACATTTACGCAATATCAACTATTAAACCAAGAATACGCATACTAAGCTAATCAGCTAGCTCTAATGACTAAGATACTAAGCTAACTATTATTTTCATCCAGCAAGGTCTTGGATTCAACTAACAAACACCTATCTTTACAAATAAATGATATATCTTTATTCCAACTAATGATTTAATGTATATTGAAACAAATAGCATTTAACTATCATAATGTTTAGTCTATTCTAAAGCTACAAAAATTACAGTGAGCATATAATAATATTATGAAGCTTCTATAAAATTTTCAGGATTAAATCTATCACCAATTCATCACAAAAAATCCTACCATATTTATCCTAATAATATTAAGCACTCTCAAATGATTTAATAGCTCCTTGTATCAACATGTATATATATGAACTAAATATACTCACAGATAGAGCATAATTTTATGAACCTAACAAAATATGTTTCATAATTTTTGGACACATACATGATTTTATATTATTTATCAAAGATCAGCTCAAAAATTAACTTAGAAAATCATTTCTAATTCCTTATGAAAAAGAAAGACGAATTCTCCCGCGCGGTCCACGCGACGCAGCGAGCGCGCGGCGGCCCACGGTGCGGCCCACGCGAGGCCGGCCTGCAGCACAAGACGGCCCGCGGCGTGGGGAATCCCACACGCGCTGGCGATTTTGCAAAAGAGACCTCACACTTCTCCCAAATTACAACTAAGTACTAACACTATTACCCTCTCCCTCAGAACTTCTCACTTAACCCCCTAGCCATTCCCTAATACCCCGCGCGCACCCTCGGCAACTCAGTGCACGGCGGCGCGATGAGCGGCGGCACTGGGCGCTTACGCCGGCCACCTGGGACCTACGCGGGCCCACCTAACAGGTCGGTCACCATCTTCTACCCGAGCGGCTGCGCTAAGCGGTGGTGCAGGGGGACACGACTGGGTGGGAAAGGGTACAGCGACGCGCGGCCATCCGCGACGCGCGACGCCACTATTCCGGTAGGCTGGGGTAGCTACAGGCTTAATTGGTTAGCTCGTGAGCATCAGGAGGCTACCATGTACCAGCCCGAGGTGACGGTTGGGGCGGAGGGTGATGGAGGAAGGCTGGCCACGTGTGGCCGACCGTGCGGTGGCACAATGCGGTGGCACGGTCGCGTCATTGACGAAGGGGAGGCGGTAGCGGTTCGGCTAAAGCACGTAGGGTGAAGAGGGAGTCAAGGCGATGCTAGTGGTGCAAATAAATTGGCTGGGGAGGGACGGTGGGAGAGCTACCCACATCCATGACCAGACGCAGCCTTATCGGCATGGCGGCGGGAGAAACTCCAAAATTGGAGCTTGGCCATGCTCGCTTCAAAGCTAGGTGGGGTCGGGCAGCGAGAGACATGATGGTGAAGCCGTGGATACGCTGAATTGAATAGAGGTGATCGTTCGCTGGGTAAATTGAATGGCCGGCTCGTGGTGACAGTAGAGGGAGAAAGAGAGAGACGGGATGCGGCAAGTAGCTCGGCTCATCCTCGCCTTGGCGAGATGCGGTCGGCGAGATCATAGAGGCCCACGCGCAGGCGCTAGCAGATAGGCACGCGCGCTTCCGATCGATGTGGCCCGCGTGGCCGCAGTGTCTTAAATGACAAGGCAACGGCGAGCTCAGCCACGTGCGCGCGATAGTGGCGGACTTAAACTAGGCTGGTAGCGGCACAAAGGGTACAGTGGATAGGTGCGGACGTGACAACGATGCAACGGCAGCGGCAGCGTCGCGGCATGAGGCTGGTCGACAGTGCGGTGAGGCAGTAGTGCGCGGACGCGATGGCGAGGTGATAGCGCCGGCAGTGGCTTCGTCGTGGCGCCGGGCGGGCGGCAGCAGCTCTGCGCGGCGGGGCCAGCAGCCGTCGGGCCACAACCAGGCCAGAGGCAGCCACGGTCGGCAATGCGCGGCAGCGCGTGCACGCACAACCAAGGCGGCGACGCCGACCGCCCGAGCATGGTGACCGCGCCCATGTGGCCAACCAGCCCGAGACCGAGTCATGCACGAATTTTAAAGCGCCTATAAAAATTAAACAATTGCATAAGGAGCCAAACCATCTTCATCATGCTCAAGAGTGCATATGAGACTATCAAATTGAGCTATAACACTATACCACCCCATAACCTAATCTCTCAAAATAATTTGCTAAACATAGCAATGTCTAGCTATTGACGGACTTAGAAATTTTCTAAGTTTTGAGCTGAACTTGATTTCAATTTGCAATTTCTAGGCTAATAGAAATATTAGCTGGTAATATCATTTTTCGACAGCAAGTATTTCACTGTCATCTACAAAGTTTATACTTCAAACTTTATTCAAATACCACACACATGTTCTATAGCATTTTTATTCAATAAAAATTAGTTTT